CAGAAAATACTGTAAAGTCAACTGACCGTATATTGTGGACAAAATGCAGCAGCCAATTGAGCACAGCAATGTCCCACAAACAGTCATGGACTGAAGTGACCAATTTATTACTTTTTTTTCTTGAGGGAGTATTATCAGGCATGTGGAGCAAGGAAACTTGCCCAAGGTTTCGCCCTGCCGGGAATCAAACCCAAGTCTCTCGCTTGCAAAGCGTGTGCTCTAACCACTCAGCTACAGGACTCCACAAAGTCAGATTCAATCGGAATTCATAGCCTTGAAGTGAGTGATAAATTTTATTTGGGGGATTGTTGACCAAATGCCATGATATTTGAAGTCCACCTGAACCAGCAGATAGGACCTCAGTTTTACCTTCCATCTGAGTGTTGGGTAGATTCTATACCTATTAATGTGCCCTAGACAAGTCTTGCATCTCTCTCCGATGGGTTTCACCTTGTTTGAAAATCCCCTTGACGTAAGCGAGCAGCAAAATTAAAGAGGAAAATGAGGCTTAATAATACGGTGCACATTTTAAAATGTGGTCACAGAGTGGATTAACGTTTTTAGTTTTGTGGACCATTGGCTTTCAGGAGCATTCATGTCACCTTCTGGTCTCAAAGCAATCTCCAAACGCATGTCTGCCTTGTTTTGGTTCATTGTATTTTCCAAGAAGATGAGAAAAATCCATTGAGGGCTTGAAGACCAGAGCTCTTTACTGACTGAATTTCCCAAAAAAGTAGTCTGGTGTAAAGATGAACATTTGCCAACCACCGTACGGTTTCCGATTGAAGGAATTATCTAACCTTGTGTTACTGGCCATCAGAGAACCCACACAGCCAAATTCCGAGTGGGTTTCAAGACAGACTGCAAATTCTTCCGCTTCCTTCAGAAATGCCAGAGGCCAAGACAAGAGATTTTGTCTATGACATTAGCGCTGCAGGAAAGCTGAAGTCAGATTCAATCGGAATTCCAATTATTTTTTTCTGGCTCAGTGACTTTAGTTTCCTTCTGCGCCCATTTCTATAGAGACTGGGTAAATGCGAATGGAAAATCCCTGACTGGCGTTGGGGAATATTCTTAGTGATTGTGGATCAATCATCTTCATGAGCATCCCTATCAGCCCCAATCTTTAGGGCAAGGCTAGTGGCAAAATACAGCCTAGACATACGTAACCCAAAGACATCATTGGTTGCGTGAGAGAAATATCAGAGCTCAATTCACAGGATGAGGAGAGCAATTGTCCTCGTTTGCATCAATTCTTCTCGATTTTCCAGAGCGGGTAGCTTCTGAAGCGAAGCAATATGTTTGCCAGTGATAGTGTGGTATAAACTCGGGTTTAAATTCATGGATTTTTAAAGCATTGAACAGGAATGAATTTAATCGGTCCAAGTCGCTACCCGGGGTCAAGGCAACAGTTGTTGGCGTTGTCGAGATGCCCGGATTTGTGCTGACGGGCACACCTTCTCTAGTGCAATGACCACATCATCGGAACCCTGCTGTGCATTCGTCTTCAACTAATGGGATCAGGGGCTACACTCTAACCATTCACAGTAATGAAACCATGCAAACATCAGCAGTGGTTGGTTATTGCATACGGATGGCCTAATTCATCCAGCATGACTGAGTTCTGCATTTTAACTGGTTACGTTAGCAATTATAAGGACCAATTTTACTGTAGTAACCAAGTCCTTTGTTTCTACACAATGGTTAGTAGGATGCAGAATGCATTATCACAAGTGGCCGGCCATTGATGGCAAGTCAATTACGGCATTTCAAAGGGAATTGGATAAACACTTAAAGAATGGAGATTATAAATGAGCCCAGGGAAAGGGCAGGGAACTGGGCTTCATTTACATGGTTGGCTCTGACAATGCTCCTCATTCTGTACTGTATTTATTCTGATTCTAATAAAGCTACTGATATCTCAGGATTGCTTGATTACTGCACCGATAATCAGACAGGCGGTTAAAACACAATTTAAGTTAAAAAAATTGATTCTTTATCCCCGTTTCCCCCCGCAATTGTCTTTTCCCGCCCCAATTATTAGTTTTAGCTTTAACCTCATCAGTTTTCTAAATAAAACTAAATAAATGTACAATGCACATACCACACTTCTTTAAGAAATCAGACATCCTTATCCCAATTCCCACCAACCTCCTCAGCAACCCCCGAGGAGGCTCCATTATTTCATCATTGACTTCCTATAATCTTTAACATTTTTTTCTTTTTAAAACCATTTTCCTCCTTTCAAAGTAAGTTTCACTCAGCTTCGATCTCCAACAGGAACTTTCCAAAACATTGGTCGTTTTCAGCGATTAAAATGGCTGCAACAACGATGACTTGACTGGCTTCATCATTAATGCAGTGTGATTTCCGGGGACAGCCAACAGATGAGGTATTGTGCCTCTGGAGCCACATTTGGCGTATCTTGAGTTCAGCAACAGATCAAGCAAGGACAATAAAAATTATGAAACAGAAACACTCATCAGAGAAACACAGCCATTAATCCAACAAGCTTTACCAGCAACTGAAATTGCATCAGCAATTATGGCAAGTTCAATTTTTTTAATGCTTCTTCTAATGCAAAACCTTGCATTTGGTTCACAAATGACAGTCAATCCTTTGTTACTGAACGTCGCTCTCAGAGGGCACTGGAAGGGTTAATTTCCGACGTGCATCAGGCACCATGCCCTCTGAGCTGCTCTCCTTTTCGGATCAGTCTTTGGCTGGAAGGTTCCTATGTAGCTTTGAACATCTCCTGCGTGATGTCAAAAGCTATATATAGCCAGCACTCAGAAAGTAATGAGATTCTAGTACAGACTCACTAAATAAAAACAATCCCGTCTGCCTGTATGTCTCATGACCAGCGATATTCACAGTTAAGCCATGAAAAATACCTTTAGAGGGCACTGTGTACACTGCGCGGCTTCTGCATTGCATCATATGGATCTCCCCCACCCATCTCTCCCAACCTCACCTAAGAGGAGACTGTCTAGACACGGGGGTAACAGTGTGAGGGGCTGCGATCTCTTTACAGAGCACGACTGAAGCAGAGCATTTCTGCGCAGAGTAGGAACTGCTGCGGGGAATATTCTGATGGGAAAAAAAAGCCATGCCTCTGAATACATTCTTTCCACATTTTAAGCCTGGCACAAGATTGATCAACATACGCCTGCTTTTAATCCATCATCATCTCTCTATGCATGTCCTTTCCGTGCCTGCACACATATACACGCACAGCACACGTTTTAAGTGAAAATGATTAGAAATGCATGCTTTTAGAGCTATTTGGGGCTCCCAATGTTTGACAATATGCGTCTGCAGCAATGCTTTTGGAACGATTTGGGACTGTGTCACAGTAAGCCAAGACCAAGCCTTCAATATGTTCCTGTTGTTTACAGAGCTCAAAAAGAAGGCGCTCAACTTCATCCCGTACAGCCGGAACATTTTAGACATCAGCTTAGACACTGATGTTGCCACAATACACTATTATTTCCTGCTTCAACCACAAGGGAGACAGGAGTGTCAACATTCCCCCCCTGAAGCCAGAAGAGGTTCAAGTTTGGGCATATTCTGTCCGTTAATCTTTTGTAGCTGACAGCTCATCCACTTGACTAAACTCGTCACACCATGTCCTCTGGTAATGTGTGGACACGTTTACTTTAATCCATTTTGTGGTCTGAACAATTATACAAGTATAACTACTCACTGGAAACCTAGCGATGAGTTAAATAAAAGCTGACAGGCTCATTTCAGTTCCCCTCCAAAATAAACAGTAACTCCACAGTGCATCCCGTGAAGCACTTTGAGAAGTTCTCCTTGTTATATCGAATGTTAAGGATTATTATTATTAGGATTATTATACTATGGAGAGCGTAATAATTTAAAAGTTGCTCTGGTTTATGATTTGCTTAAGAAAAAAAATGACAATCCTGAAAGGACAAAGGGTGATGGGTGTTAGTGAGCTCTGTGTAATGAAAAATAATGGCAACTATAATGCTGGTGTCCATCTACCAACCCCCCTCCCAAACACGACTGGAATAACTCTATAACTCTTTGAAATTCAGAGGTTTGAGGTTCAGTGGATAATAGCTCCTAGACTGAAATGGTTGGTTGAAGCTCAAAGAACGAATAGAGATTGCGAGCGCAAAGAAAAACTGTCCCGAGGAAAGGGCTCAATTGTGAAGGAACTTTTAACAGAGGCGTATGCTTCAGGTCGACAGCAAGTTTGGGTACAGAGAGAGACGTAGACAGAGAGCGCAGCGGGCAAGTGTGTGCGACCATGAAAAGTCTTCTTTCAAATCAAACCCGTCCAAAATCATCGTTTTTAAGCGCTTGGTAGTCCTCACGTTGTATTTTCTGTTATTTTGTTTATTTAATCCTTTATATTTTGGGCTTTGTGTGCGTACAGTAAGTTATCTGAACTTAGGTATTGATCAATTAAACTATTATTGGTAAGTGTCCAATTTTGTGAGAGTTATTGATAGTTTTGTCTTTCTGAGGACAGGACTGTGAAACAAAATCCTGGTTTGCAAAGTGTCCTTCCTGGATTTATCTTCTGTACCCACAAGAGATAAGAGCAAGCAACACAGACTTCAAAAGGGTGACCCTGGAGACAATTATTTATTGTGATAGAGAGTTGGGGAGTAACAATATTGAGGGATATGGTAGGGAGGTTAGATAAGGGGAACCAGTGGTTGGTACAAAGTAATAATAATAATCCTTGCATTTGATATCGCGCTTTATCACGTCTTTGAGACGTCTCAAAGAATATACTGCAATGTGAATTGAACTGTATATTTGGTGGACGAAATGTAGTTCCTAGTGTGGTCTCAATGAATCAAGAACTAACTTCCAGTTTGTCTAATTTCCCCCAAGTTTCTAGAATTTTATCCCTTTGAGCCGCAACACGACCACAGATCCAGCCTGTACCTGAATAAGGACAGTAAGGAAAGAATGCAAAAAAGTCCGTCAAAAGATGGAGTGGAATGGTCTGGACTTACCACCTCCGTTTTTGTAACACAAGTAAGGAAATCGCCATACGTTGCCCAGACCCACTGCAAACCCCACGCAGGACATGATGAAGTCCATCTGCCTGGTCCAGGTCTCTCGCTCTGGAGCTGGCACTTTGACACAGCCATTTGTGACGAGCGGTGTCAGTACAGATTTATCTTCCACAACAGGTTCCGGATCCCCAATCAATTCTGCGCCCTCTGGTTCAGGAGCCTTGGTGCACCCATTTCCACCTAGACAGGAGAGAATGGAAGAGTTAATCGGGTGGTGACTGAGGCACTGCCTGCAGACATTGTAGAGTCCTGTAGCTCAGTGGTTAGGTTAGAGCTCTCACTTCACAAGCGAGAAGGCTGGGTTCGATTCCCGGGCAGGGTGAAACGTTGGGCAAGTTTCATTACTCCACGCGCCTCTGTTTACCTAACGGTAAAGTAGGAACCCACTTGTTAGTCGATTGGCGGATCGCTTTTCCGGGGATAATAATCCCTTCGAAAAAGAATAAAAACTAATTAATAATTTGGACGCTCAATCCACGTGGGACGCTGCTGTGCACAATTGACTGCCGTGTTTCGCCCACAAATTGTCCAGTTAATTCACTTTGCAGTAGATTCTGTGAAGTGCTTTGAGACGCTTTGAAGACATGAATATCAAATGCAAGGATTATTATAAGCACTTCCCAGGATATAGTGTAGAGTGTAGTGACTGTGCATTTTGCAGGCAAGTGAAACAGTGAATGTGTGCGCGGCACTGCACTCTCTGCCTTCTTATAAGCTATGAAACTAGTAATTATTAATACCGTGATCAGGGTATGGGTTTAAAATTAACAAACAGGCGATTAGGTTCCTCCCTCCTACAGCTTAGTAGTAGATTCCTGTTGGAGTCACAACTGCTTGAGGACAAATACTTGATGAAGAATATTTAAAGGCTACGAGGAGTGAACAGGAATGTTTCATGCCTCATGTAGAGGAAAAATAGTAGTGCCAACTGCTCCCTCCTGTTGGCTCCATATTCCCCTACTCTGCCCGCCCCCACCATCGGGGATCAGGCCTTCAGCCTTTCTGCCCCCACCCTCTGGAATTCCATCCTAGAATCCCTTTGCCTCACCCCTTCCCTTACCTCCGTCGAGGCCCATCTCAAGACTGTGCCTTCGGTCATCCTCCTACTCCCTTCCACCCTTGGCCCCCCCACCACTCTCAATACCAACCCCAGGTTCGGCTGCTTTGGGACGTCATCCTGACCCGAAAGGAGTTTATATCCGTGCAAGTTGTCGTGGCACAAGGATTCTGGCACAAGGACCAGAATCCTTCCCAAAGTCCCCGAGGTACAGGTTTGATTCCTGTTTGTGCATCACTATGATATCAGCCTGAATTAGTTGGTACCACTCTCCCATCCGAGTCAAAGATTTGGGGTTCAAGCCTCATACAGGGACACTACCCTGAACTGTCAATGTGTAGAGCTGAGGTAACACTGCATTGTCAGAGGAGACATTAAAGCAAGATGTCCCGTCAGCCTGTTCAGGTGGAAATTAAACGTTCCCAGGCACAATTTCTCCCAACAATCGTCCAGAGAGAAAAAAAATAGTCATTCACTTCCAACGAGCCATGATCTAACAGAATGGCAGAACAGGCTCAAGGGGCTGAATGGCCTACTCTTGTATCTATGTTCGGAGGACATTCTGTGAAGATTCTGTATTAGATATTACACTGAAAGTCTAATTGCGACGCTTGATGATTTTTTAAAAAAGTTTTTTAATTAATCTGTATATACTTTTAGAGTACAACCTGCCTCATTGGGTTGGTTGTTTTAAATGACTAACTTGGGGCCCCTGAGAGGGTACGTGTGACAACCAGCTTCACAAAGGTAAAGATGCGTTGGTTCGACTCCAGCTGAGGTCAGGTTCTGACAACTTTCCCTCATCTGGTGTCTGGGTAGAATTGAGTAATTGAGTAATCGTGTCCTGGAGCGTAGGCGTGAAAACATGGAGGCTCACAGAGAGCGAGAGAAGCGCACACTCCTGGACATCTGATTATCTCGAGACTAAGAAACAGGAATCCTCCCGAAAAGCTGTCCATTTCTCTTGCTCCTTATCAGTTATTTTCCCCAATGACAAAAAGCTCATCAGCAGCTGGAGGTCGGTGGGGGTTAAACGCTGTTTTCTTTCAGAGGAAAAACTACGAGAAGCCATCTTTTACAAGAGTAAGGTGGAGTAAGGTTTATCCAACTGGATAAACAGAGATTGTTTCGGGAAGAGAATCAGGAGGAGTCTGGAACTTGGAGTCCCGAACGACATTCCAGCTTCTAAAGAAGGAAATTGAAGACTAAGACGACTGTCAACAATTTTATCGACGCTTTTAAACTAAGTAACAGTACCGCAAGACCCGGATACCTTTTGGTGGACATTAAATTGGACAATAAATTGGACATTACTCCTCAATCTGTTCTGCAACGTTTGGTTTGGCCGACCTTAATCGTTGTGAACTGTACTTATAGGTAAGCATTGTTCTGTTGTATTCTTTTAACTACCTATAACCATTGCTAGTTTGAATTAAATAATCCTTGATTACTTGTACAAGATTTGTGTCAGTCTTTACTTCCTTCACCCCAGGGTTAAATTCGACATTGTACATTATGATTAAGTTAACAGTCCTTCCTACATATGTATCAGACTCCCTCCTGCACACTATCCTGTGCAAAAACTCAGTGTTGACAGAGTCCTGTCCTTCCTTGATTAACAACTGTTCCATTGAGAAACTCCTGTCATATTAATGGCAAAGATATTCAATCAATCTATGAAAATGAAGAGGTGTCAACCCTCAGGCTCACCTTCAATGATGTTTGTTAAGAAACATTGCCCTGAGATCTTTGGCTAAACAATTCAGCTGAGAATTTGGAAAGGCTTTCCATTGCCCCTCGTTATCTGATGCTCCCGATCAAGTTGCAGTTGACTGTCTGCAGGCTGCTCTCTGAACTAGAAGGTTAGGGTTTCAGCTGACACGAGCGCACCAGCACCAAATAATAATAATAATAATAATAATCCTTGCAATTTGATATAGCGCCTTATCACGTCTTTGCGACGTCTCAAAGCGCTTCACAGAAAACACTGTGAAGTAGATCGACTGTATTTTGTGGTTGAACACGGCAGCCAATTGCGCACAGTAGCGTCCCACAAACTGTCGTGGATTGAGTGATCACATTTTTTTTGTGTGAAGGAATTATTACCCCCGTAAAAGCAACCTGCCAATCGATTAATAGCCAGGTTCCTACTTATTGCGAGGTAAACAGAGGCGTTTGTGGGATCCTCTCGCTTGTGAGGCGAGTGCTGCAACCAATACGCTACAAGACTCCACTTAAATAAAATTGGACGTTCACTTCATGGAGTAAGCGAGACTCTGCTGTGTGCAAATTGGCTGCCCTGTTTGCCAGCTACCTGATACCAGCTAAATGAGCCCAAGTAGGCCTGAGATTTGTAGCGAGAATCTTAGAGAGAGCGAATCTCACTCTCCGATACCTCGGTGGAACGTACGCTGACCTTAAAAGTGTGAACTGAAACTATTGCACACAGGTACTAAAATATGTGGCTGACATAGTATGGAATGAGCCACAATAATAATAATCGTTGCATTTGATATAGCGCCTTATCACAACAACAATAACTTGCATTTATATAGTGTCCCAGAGCGGGTGGGGGTGGGGGGAGGAGGTGACCGTAGACGCGGTCGAACAGGAAGGTCTTCAGGCGCGACCTGAAAATGGGGAAGGAAGGGGGAAGGCGGAGGGATAGAGGGAGAGTGTTCCAGAGGTTTGAGAACGTCTCAAAGCGCTTCACAGAATATACTGTAAAGTAAATTGACTGTAATATTTTGTGGGCAGCCAATTGGGCACAGCAGCGTCCCACAAGCACTCGTGGATGGAGTGACCAAATTATTAATTTTTTTTTGCTTGCGACATCCTCCCAACTGTGTCAAATGTAAGGATTATTATTATTATTATTACTACAATGAGGGGAGCCTCCCTAATCAGTAAGGAAGAGCATTTTATAGGATACATTGGGTAATTATTTAGGAGTAGTTTGAGGAAATACGATTTGGAGTTTGGTGCAGACTAACGACCTCCCATATCTCTCCATCTTAAGACTGCCTTTCAGCATTAAGAGTAATTCATTGTCTTTGCCCAAATAAAATTACAAAGATTACAATGTGCATCTGTTAAATTAATAAACAGTCAGGGAAATCAGGTACAGTGCTGTGTGTGTGTATACAGAATACACTGTAAAGTGTAGTGACAGTAAAGAGTAGGGACTGTATATATTTTGTGGATGAAACGCGGCAGTCAATTCAATTTATAATCCACTCGAAGGTTTTTAAACTCCCCCTCCCCCACAAGGGTCTCCCCTCACCGCCCCAGTGGTGTTAACAACCACATCTATCCCCATCCTCACCCCACACACTCACACACACACACATTCCTCAAATAATAATAATCCTTTCATTTGATATAGCGCCTCATCACCTGGTTGTTAGTCGATTGGTGGATCACTTTTCCGGGGGTAATAATCCCTCCAAAAAAAAAAGATATGATCACTCGATCCACGACTGTTTGTGGGGACGGACGCTGCTGTGCGCAGTTGGCTGCCGCGTTTCGCCCACAAAACGTACAGTCGAATCACTTTACAGTGTATCCTGTGAAGCGCTTTGAGACGTCTCGAAGACTTGACGAGACGCCGTATCAGACGCAAGGATCCTTATTATTATGGACTGAAAGTGTTTTCGTTTGACGTGGAGCTGATGGTGTCGGGATGACTCGCGGCGCTTCACAGGATCTATTACAAGCGGAAGCAAACTTGGCGGAAAAAGCGGCAGCCAACGTGCGCACAGCCACGTCCCACGTTCGGCCACGAGGCGACATTGCGCCCGATTGCAGCGGAGGTCGCAGAGCGGGTCGAACAAACAAAACTTTGCCCGTAAGTCGTGACATTTCGAGCACAGATTGTCAAGGTCAGACCAGTGGAGACGTTCGCATTTTAAATGGCAGTCTGCCAAAACAAAGGTGCGATTTGCTTTAAAAGCAAATAAACCCAATGAAATGTTTCCTCCCCGTGCCTTCGGCTGCTCTCCTGTTCCCCCGCACCCACCCACCCCACCCACCCAACTCGGTCCAAATCCCTGACTGTCCGGGGCTTTGAGATGCCCTCCCGACATGAAAGGCGCTGTGTAAATGTGATTTTGTATTGTATTGC